GGGGCTGGCCGAGAGAAAAAGGGAGTAAAGAATGAATGGGGAGGGGGAGAGTAATTCCGCCCATTTAGAACGTTGATACATTCTAACTTTTTTCCCTCCCCCTCTTTCATCTCCCCTCCTTCTCTGTGTCTTCCCGGCACTGGTTACTTTCACACCAGACTCCGGGAGCAGCGGCGGCGGCGGCGGCCGCGGGAGCCGGCTGCTTCGCCGCTCGGTGTGCGCGCGGCTGACTACGGGTTCCCGCCCCGGTGGGGAAGATAGGTAGCGTGCGCGCGTCTGCTTTTGTCTCATCCTTCCTCGGGTTTTCAAATATTTTTAACCCCTTCTGCTGCATTTCCGTAAGAAGGTAGATAGTATTATTTGAGGGGGGGGAGCTGGGGGAAACCGATATCCTCTTTTCTGAAGTCCGCCTGTGATCCGCGGGAGGGGGGTTGAGTGAGTTGCGTGTAGCTTTCTGGCGGAAGGGGGTCGTTGAAGGACAAAAGACGCCCCCTCCCTCGCCGCGATCTCTGCGCACGGAGGCTGGCAGAGCAGAACTTTTTTTTAAAGATCCGAAGACCTGAGTTAGACTTGAATTTGCTCCCGGCCGAGGGAGGCGGGGGGTGGGGGCGGGAGAGAGAAGACAGAGTCACTCCAGGGTCGTGTAAACGCGACGGGGAAGGCGCTCCTTTGTCTGCGGGGCAGCCTGCCTACCAGCTTCGCGGCCTCATCTCTGCCTCCTCCCCCTTCTTCCGCCCCAGGTGAATCGAATGGACCACCAACCCTCCCCCAGGAGCTGCAGCCGGGGGCCCCCAGCCTGCGACACTGTCCAGAGTGACCCTCCTATGAATGTTTTCATTCACACGACCACCGGGGCCCGGTATGAGCTCTCTGTCCCCGTGGAAGAGACGGTGGAAGGTTTGAAGAGGCGGCTGTCTCAGAGGCTTAAAGTCCCCAAGGAGCGGCTGGCTCTTTTACATAAAGAAAGGTATTCACTCTAGTGTGCTTGTGGGTGTCTGTGTGTGAATCTTTCATCCATCCCCCCCCCCGAAATAAAGACTGGGGGTAGGAGGAGGTAGGAAGTTAGAATTTAACCCATTGTTTTCGTTTTTTAATTGGGAGGGAGCCCTTAATTAAAAGCGGTCTAGCTTCGCACCTCTCAGGAAGTCTCACTGGGTTCAGGTAAGAAGGCAAACCCAGTAAAATTCAGGCATTGCTGGGAGCTCCCTGGATCTTCCTGGCTGTTAGGACTTCTTTGGACTGCAGCCTTCAGAAGGAGTGAAAAAACTTCCCAAAGTGTATGGAAGTAGGAAATGTAGAATCTAGGCCACTGGAAAACTGCTTTTAACTTTTTGTACATGGTGTATGAATGTCTGCAAAACCCTTTATGCATGCCTGTAATTATATCTACCCCTTTCTTCTTTTTTTATAGCCAAACTGCAAATGTGCTGATTTTGGAATATTGTTTAGATAAGAATCTATGCATCTGTACAGAGTGGAGAGTACATATATATAGAGAGAAAAACAGGGAGCGAGATACAGATCTATAGCACTGGGATTCATTTTTGACATCCAGGCATATCATAAAATAGGCAGAGGGAGCCTGTATGGGGTACATGGGTGGGGGGAGAGAAAAATACAGGTTGAACCTCTTTGTGGATTTCTGCAAAATATCTGGTTCCTGTACTGCTAATTCTCTCCCCATATATTCCCCTGAAAAACTCAAGGCTTTTCCAAAGAGCTGAATCTAGCCCCCCTCCCCATAAATAACACGCTTGATAGCCTAATTTGCAGCATTGGTACTCCCCTCCCCATGCAGCCCCCATTCCTTGTTCTCTTTTGGGGAAGAAATGTTATTAGTATCTATTGATCTGATCTCAGGGTCAGAATTTGTCCTGGAAGCTTTGCTTAGGATGAAGGGGGAGAAAGACTAGGAAAATAAGACAATCCTCTTGAACTCCCCCCCCCCCCCACCAAGAGGGGTTGCTTCAGATTTTCTTTCAGTCCTCGCCCCTCTTCCCCTGAAGGTGTCCTTTGTTCTGAAGGTTGAATTTGGGTAGCGTGCAAGTGCATAGACAGAAATGTACGCCTACACACGCGTGCACACACACACATTCACGCTTGTATGCACACACAGATGCAGGCCATCTCCCATGCAGACCTTCCTAACTGCTTAAAAATACTAGGATCTCTGGAGAAATCTTGGAGGCGCAGAGAATGCTACCTAGGGCTGACTTGAATGTCCTTTGTGAGGGGGAGAAGAGGAATGGTCTGGATTGAGGGGGAATAGGGATATCTGTATCCCTATTCTGAGCCATTCTCTTTGTTTAACTAAATCCCCCTAGCTTTGTTAGAGAATGCAGAACGGATCAGTCCTTAAGATGCAAAACAGCTCGGTCCTTGCACAATGAACTCTCTTGCTCCACTGGGCCCCAAAATCTCCCAACGGCACCCCCCCTTTAATGCATCTTCCCAGTCTCTTCTGAGCCTCTGACAGATGATTTAAAATCTATCAAACCTAGCTTAAAAAAAAAAAAAAGAAGCCATTTTATATTCCAGCCCTTCTCACAATTAAGATGTGCAAGGTATCAGGGCGAGCTTAGAACAAGATTCTCCGGATCGGAAGAGCTATTAATTGGGGGGAGCTGATTTTATTAATTCATCTGTTCGCTTACAAAGCTGCCTTTTCCCCTCCTTTGAGAATCAGGCTGGAAAAAATAAATCCACCCTCCTACAAGTCTCTTTTCTCTTTCCTGTGGCCCCCGCACCCTCCCCCCCAGCATTCAATAGATGCCCACATGGTTCTTTCTCTTTCTGTCTGCCGTTTCTTTTTAACCTTTCTTAGCTTCCCGGATCTGTCACTCCAATTGTCTGGAACAGTAGTGGGTTAGAGAAGAGCTCTGCAGTTGGAGAGATGCCTGTGAAATCACAGGGGGCAGCAGAGGGAAGGGAGAGACTTAGAATATTGTGTTTACATAAGAAGCGGAAAAGTGGAGCACCTGGGCTGAGACAGGCGTTTGGGGGAGGGAGGAAATCAGAAAGATCTCCGGTTGTTCCATCTTTTCAGAGAAGGGAAGAACTCATTTGGGCCAGGGGGATTATTATTTTCGTAGTAATAAAACCAACAGTGACCTTTTTTTTTTTTTAAATAACACCCTCCCCCCGTAGCACCCCCATGGTGTCCTTTTTCTTTCAGTCTCATCACAGTTGCAGTTCTCCAGCCTCAAAGTGCATGAGGAAGTATTTTGTAATCATTGTGGTTCTTTAAAAGATTGCAAACTAAGACTTCGCCTTTTCTTTCCACCCCCACCCCACCCCACCCCCTGCTTTTCCCCCTCAGTCGTCTGAATTCAGGCAAACTGCAAGATTTGGGGGTCGGAGAAGGAAGCAAGTTGACTCTGGTACCTACGGTGGAAGCTGGCTTGATGGTAATTATTACCCTCTTACTAATCATGGTTTCAGGCTGAACTCTGGGAGAGTCTGGCCACGTCACTATACGGGCATCTGGTTTGGAAGCCTGACGTTCTCTTCTTTTCTTCTACAGTCTCAAGCATCTAGACCAGAACAATCCGTGATGCAAGCATTAGAAAGTTTAACTGAAACTCAGGTAAGATGGGGTGCAGGTACATGCGAATAAGTTTGTCTGTTCTCCTCTAAGGACTTTGTTGGGTCCAATTCTTCCATCCTCAAGGAAGAGAAAGAGAAGCAGAGAAGCTTCTGCAAACAGATGGGAAATCACAGTAAATGGAGGGCTGACTCTCTGGGTGCACTGCAAAGTTAGGCAGTTCAGGAGCCTCTAGGTTAGTGTTTCTCAACCTCAGCCGCTTTAAAATGTGTGGACTTCAGCTCCCAGAATTCCTCAACCAGTAGCCGAGGTTGAGAAAAACTGCTCTAAATGTTTGGACTACAATTCCCAGGAGTCCAAGCAGTTGGGCCCACCAGGCCACAAGGCAAAACTTTTGAAGGACTTCAGGATTGGTGACTCTTAGACTAAATAGGCTTTTGTGAATTTATGAGAGACAAATAAAACCAAATCTCTCTCTGTCTCTGTCAGGATTCTAGTCCACGGGAAGGTTGAGCTTAGTCTATTTCCCTTCTGCATAAACATTTGCTCTTCTCTTGTATTTATTATCATTTATGTTCTGTTATAGTATTATTTACTACTATTATAGCAATAAAAAACTATGGTACAACTGTCCTCTACCTGATGCCCTACGAGTGTACCGGAACTGCAAATCCCAGAATTCCTAGCTGTGTGCTAAGAATTACCTAGAATTCCCCATGTAGCATGCGAGATAGGAATTCTGGGAGTTGTAGTTTCAGCAAGACAGAAGAAGCTAAGGCTTTGTGACTAGCTATGCCGAAGGACCCAATTCAGAATCATACGCTTTCAGACCCTTTTCAGGTCTCTGATTAATGCTGCAGTCCTACTGAACTGGTTGTCTCTTCCATCAATGCTACTTCAGTGCGTAGGTTTTTGGCTGGATCGCACGCCCTCTATTTGGGTAGCACAGAGTGCTTTAAATCTGTTTTGGTTCTCCGATGCAGATCTGTAGACAGATTCTCTTTATCAGCACTGCTGCCACTTGTATTTTAAGGCATTAGCATAAAATACTTCCACTTGTTTATTTGTATTGTTTTTGCTCATCCTTCCTGATCTTCAGTCATCAACTTTCTGTTTAACTGACTTGTTGAAAGTGTGGTTTTTTAAAAATCTGTCTGATTTTTAACTCATCTAGGATCTGTCTCAACAGATCAATTATACTGATGAATGAATATTATGAGAAGTTGGAGACACTGCCGTTGTGTGCTTGGTCACAAATACTAAGTCTCTTGTTTGGTGATGCCCTGGTTGAGCTTATCTCTAGAAAGATGGACTTTGATTTTGGGTCCCCGTCCCCTAATTTCTCACCCCCACCCACCGCCTTTTTTATTTAAGGGAATCTTTTTTAGAAAAGTTGCTTCTCCCCGGAGCTGAGAACAAAAGGGATTTCTCTTGGCAGATAACAGTATTTCACAGCTATCTCCACCCTGGAAAGAGAGCTATGGGGGGGGGGCGGTCAACCTTTCTTCCTCACCCCCTTACTCAAGATCTGGATCGCCTTCACATTCTTGCATAGGCTGTCCTACAGTCATTGCATTTTAATTGTGGGTATGTTCGTTTCCTTCCCCTCCCCTTAGCAAACACAAATGCTTCCTTGCCAACGTCTCCTCCTCTTAATTCTGTTCCTCCTTGCGCATATGACGCTTCTAATTTTTTTTAACCCAACATACATATCCCTTCTATTCTCTTGCAGTTCTTTTTAAAAAAAAAAAAAACATCAAGGTGCAAGGGAAGTTAAGGGATTGCAGAGTTCCCTGGGGGTGGGGGCAGAATCATGTTGCACCAAATTCCTGAGACAGCCTTGCTGTTACTTTGGGAAGGAGAGAGGGTGGGTGGAGGGAGGGGTGCGAAAGGATACCAGAGGGTGCTGAGGTGAAGAATGATTGCTAGCTGGCCTTCTGTCTGTGATAGCTCTGGCTCTGATTAAGTTGCTTCTGTTATCTGCACATTCCTTCCTCCTCAGGCACCCTGGAATATTTTCAGGAGCAAGACTGTGCAGTGAGACTGAGATATTTTTGCTTGGAGAAGGAAGGGCAATTCAGGCAGTGGGGTTTTAGGGGTGGCCTGGAGGTTTGATCAGCTAGGATTTGACCCTTAAAAGCTGTAAGCATTCCTTGCCCACAAGTTTGCAATCTGAAAGGCGGGAGATGAAAGGAAGAAGCGATGAGGAGGGAAGAGGAGAGATGAGCGCATGCACAGAGGTCCACTGATTAGTCTGTCACTGTACTGGGCTTATGAAAAGTCCTTTGCAGTTTGGTGTTGCTTATTTTTGATTCAGCTCAAGAAATTGGCAGACAAAATGCACCCAAAATAGATCAAAGTTGCTGGTACTTTTCTTGTTTCTAGGCTCTGGGCCTCTCTGGCCAAGAAACACATATGCAAATGTTTGTGGATCATAAGGGAAATAGAAATACACTTGGAATTAGCCCCTCAAAGTATTTTGATGACCAGGAGTAGGTTTCCCAATTGCAAATTTGGAAACTTATCATCTGTTCTTGCTTGTTAATTTTGAGAGCCAAATGTCCTGGCGATGGGGTGATGTTGAAATTTTGTGCGAGGTTGTTCTTCTGCCTTCAGCTTGAGATGTATGTACACTTGCTGGAGGATGGGTCCCATTGCACATCTGGAGGGCTCCCATTTCCTCTTGAGTTAGGCCTCCCATAAAATGCCCAGCCTTATAAAAAGTTCTCTCCTCCCAAAACCCATGGCTGATTCTTTAAAGCACTGCTTCTCAACCTTGGCAGCCTTCAGATGGGCGGACTTCAACTCCCAGAATTCCCCAGCCAGACTTGCTGGGTTTACTACATCCCACCCCCTCGGAGGAAGGGGAAACGTTGCTGGGGGCCAGAACAAGAAATATCCATTTTGAAATGGACAATGGAGGGGTTCCCACTGAGCCATCTTTTCAAGAACCTGGAAAAGTTGTGTATGGGGGGGGCAGCCCCCCCCAACTCTGGAGTAGGCACATGGCAGGTTCAGAAGGCTTATTTCGATTTCTGTTCTTCCGTTCCGCTTGTAAAGCAGTTGAGTCTTGGGGCAGGGTTTCTGCGTGCTTCTTGGAGCAATGGTGGTGACCCTTGAACATGTGCAGAGGGCATTATTCTTTGCTGTTGAGTAACCCATAGATGCTCAGCCCCTAACACTGCCATCTAGGTTTTGAAGAGTTTCAGACCAGGGGTGGTTATTCTCTAAAACAGTGTTTTTCAAACTTGGCCGCTTTAAGATGTGTGGA